CGCATACACAAAACCACATGGATTTCAACGGATAACACTACACAGAATCAAATTAACCATATCGGCATCAATAAGAAAATTCAGAAAGACGAGGGAGGACGTGAGACACAAGATAGAAGGTGATATAGCCTCAGGTCATAACTTGCTGGTCGTCAAAATGAAGCTCAAACTCATGAAGTACTAGACAACGCAGTGGACATCACAAATGTTTAATACGACCTTTCTTTAGGATACTGACAGACTCAACGAATTCAAGATAGACCTCAGCAATAGGTTCTAGGCCTTTCACAATCTACTCAATGGAGAGGGAACTACTATGCGGAGCAGCTGGAAAGGGATCAAAGAGGCAATCACTTCAACATTTCATGAGGTTTCGGGCCACAAGAAGCACCATCACAAGGAATGGGTCACTGTTGATATACTGGATAAGATTCAAGAAATGAAGAAGGTCACGTGTTACGTATGCCTGAACACCGATTACCACGATAAGTAATGCTGACTAGTGTTGGAGACGGTTGGAATAAATTAAGGGGCAGCCAAACCAAAACGTGGCATCAGTGCCTGAAGTCATTAACTTCTGGTCTGAGCCATGTTGGTAGACGTAGACTACTTGGTTGGGGTCTGCGTGACTATCGTAACCAATGGTTGGAGACTCTAGGGGACACGTCTCAGAATCGATCAAAATGGTGTAGGTACATACATTCTCTATCTTCCCTTAAACTATGAAATTAAAATCGTTTCATATCTGTCTTTCTACGAACAAGTTTTTCTCCCTGTACTATATCCTTGTATGCAATCTTTCTTTTATATATTCTATGAATCCGCTGTTCATCTTGCCGTGCTAATGAAGTATTGCAACTTGGGCCGATAAACATGTGCCTGGTCCTACGTTGTAGCTGACTGACTGACTCATGTGCCCTTGGAGACTGGTTAAAAGCTCACTTCCAACACCTATTTTACCCGACAAAAGAAGAAATATTGTGTTAGCTGTACTCATAAATATGTCTACTACTCAGATATTTACATGACTTCCAACACCAGACGTCACCTGAAAAAAAACAAAAATGTATTGGTCGTTAAACAGACCAACAAAATATTGAACGAAATTAACAACAATCATCATGTGCTCTCTTATAAATGCAAAGAAATATTCGATTTTACAGAATAACTTCTACCTTTTTTCTCTAGTTCGGTTGTAAATTACTATTAAAAAGATTCAAGGCATCTAAATTTGAATAAATATACATACATACAACAGCCGGAACTCATATTTAATATAGTTAATAGGGTGTTGTACTGAAACAACTTGTGGTTAGCATAAGTCACAGTATTATGATAAAACAACATTAGTGGGAATCTGACATTACATATCTTGTTTGTTATAGTATATATAAGACGTTCTGTAAAAGCAAATATGGTCAGGCCTTCTGAACGTTCTTCATAATTTAGTTTACATTCTGATTTAATATATTTTCAATACTCTTCGTTTTCAAATTCCTGAATTGTACTAAGACATTTGATTTCTTAATCCAAGTTTTGGTACGATTTAAGCCAAGAAATGACACGTACTTAGAATCTGCTTTTAACCTGGTCGCTAAGTATAATGATTAAATTCTTACCAACTAGAGCTATTCCACTTCCTCCATTGTATTAATTTTTATCTAACTGTGCGTTTGAGAACGAGGCACAACGTTAAGTCATCAAATTAAATTTCAAACCAGTCAGAAGTGGATCAGACTTGTAGCCCGAACTGATGAAAACCAAACTACACTATAATTTATTGTAAGGACCAAATGTTTATTCAATACAAATAGTAAGTGTGCAAACTGATTTCCATGTAAATGGCTCACCAACTCTGCAGTTTTTTCCTCAAGCTTTGCAGATAAAGAATAACTAAGAATTTGGAGTCGATAACCTTAACCAATGGAGATCGACAAATAACTGAATATTTTATAAGTCTGAAAATTTTTTTTCTTCTATTATACCATAAAATCGATACCTTATCATGAATATTATTCTCGAGCTGAAATAGTTTTTATCTTGTTTTTTTCCAAACACTGCAAGAATACCATATTCTCCAACTTACCAGTCATATGCATGTAGTGGAAACAAATGATAACTTGAAGTAAAAAATATATCGGCAAATTGGAAAAATGACCGAAAAGACTTGACTTTGTACAGTGAAATGTAACGGATATACGAGTAATTACAGAAATTGTATAGTGGGACTGATGCGGAACCACACAATCATTGAAGCCGGACAAACAGTAGTTAGGAAGATTTACATTATCTGTTGAACATCTGGAGAAGGTCATAGGAGGTGAGCGCAAAACACTCAATCGAGACAGCATAACTCGGCCGTCCAGGCGTAGTCACTATGTATCACCTCTTCCTTTACATATCAAATATATAATCATATCCCCAGCCGAAAAGTGTTCTTCATAAGTTCATAAAAAGTATGCTACCGACTGTCATAATAAGACAAGTCAGCATGAAAATAATAAAATGACTTCTACATAAGATTGTATGGATTAGGTAGTCATATCATAGCGATTTCACCATATTAGGTCGCGTCTGTTATTCTAGTAGGATAAATAAATGTACTTAATACCGACTTAGACAGTGATTTTACATTGGTAAGACCGACTAAAGAGACGCACCCTCTTGTCATTGTGACTTTAACGATTGATCTTTACTTATTTTAATTCATTATTCTATTAGTCAGTTGATTAATGCTCACATGTATGATGTTATTGCAATGTTGGTCAGTTTTCGCACTTAGGCAATTAGCTATTTTCAACCGCACACTATCCCCTACAGTTTTTTCTCATATGACAAATGCCTACAAGTTTACGATTGCCGAATTCCATGGTTAAACAGAAAATGCGAATATCAGAATTTTAATCTGAATTTGGACTTCTTGCAAGTTTAGATTTCGTTTAGAAAGTTCGTTCAGGCAATGCAATGCAGTTGGCTAGAATTACTTTCGGATTTACGTCGAATTAACCTGCAATGCTACGTGAATCCAATAACTAACTTGGTAACATGCCATTATTTAATTCAGATTCTCTTGGATTTTTATCGCATTGGCCAATTGGCTGTTTCAAACCCTCATTATGTAACTGCGAAAGTAATTCAGGCGAGTTGCATAATTGCATTAAATGACTTTGTGTTATGTTCATGATGCTTGATGACGTTTTGTAGATACTTTCACACAGATTATTTTTATACTATACCAATCTCTAGTCAAATTCATTTACAAAATGGCATGACCTGACATCAGAACATTATTACCTAAAATATCCACACTACCATTAATGGTATGTGTATATCCCGAATCCTTGAAGGCAACACATATTGTGCCCTAACAATATTCAGGACGGAAAAACATGATTTGTTTGACTGAACAGCAGTCTGTGCCGCGGAAACACGCCTAATTACGCTAAACGAGGTTTGGAAAATTTGCATGATATCATCTGAGTTTGTTAGAATGTTTGGATTTTAGCTTTTTTCCTGAACCTCGGTCACTGATGAAATATATATGTTATTATTAATAATAGTCACCAATTAAAACTTGGAATGCTGGTTTGACTGACATTTTTACTAGATAAAAGCTATATTTTCCCCCTATTTTTTTGACTTTGGAATGTGCAATACTTAAACCTTCATGACTTAAGAATTAGTCAAATTGATAGAGAGCATTAGGAATTGGATGTCGCATAAATATATAGTCTGCCAGACTGTGTTGTTACACGTGATGTATAACCTATATTTTTTATGCTGAAGAGAATGCTAGCAACACACAAATATATGATATTCCGCATGCTATTGATAATGGCTAACTGACAAGAGAATGTCAAATAGACGTTTTTTGAATCGTTAACATCAACAGAAGAGTTAACTAAAATAAATGAGCTGTCGTGGTTGATGAACGCCATCTACATTTATACTTAGCTTACGGTAGACTGATAATTCATCATCAAACATAGACTAAATAGTTGAACAGGCATAATTTTTTATATTTCCACTATATCCGTGATAAATTGGAGATTGCAAAAATTATGATATTGAAATCTCTAAATATTGCACAGAATACACCTGACATTAGAGAGTTTTGTCGGACATATAAAAAACACTTAACATAAACATTTACTTTTATCAAGATTGAGAGTAAATCTCCTGGCATAAAGATTTACACAGCATTGGAAATAGGAACGAAACCAATCAGAATATGTTAATGTGAAGAGCTAATTTCGTTATTTATTCTTATTTAGCTATATTACGTTTTCTAACATAAGCCACTTGGAATAAAAACTTTTACTGAAGATATTTGTGATTCAATATGTGATGCGCTTGGCCAATTAGACAGGCCGAATGATAACAGCAAGCTGCTGGTCAGGCGCCGACTGCCGTATCTGAGGAACAAAACATATGCCATTAGTTGAAAGTTCGTATTTATTTTTTTAAGAAAGGTATATATAAACGAGTGCACATTTATCCTGCAAAAAGCTCCACCCTTACTCTCATATTTTCTAAGCAAGTGGCTGATTGCATATGAGCTTTTATATCAGGCGCAAAATCAAATTACCACGTATAATAATAGAACGTTTATTTTTTATCTGGCCTGTCAATGTTTTGCTTTACAATTATTATTATTATTATTATTATTATTATTATTATTATTATTATTATTATTATTATTATTATTATTATTGACTGCAATTTATCCCGTTAACAAGTTTATATGAATAGAAGACATCATCCTAAAAAATAAACTTTATTATTGCGGCCAGGAGACTGTTATAGTATTCTTTTATTACAAGCACTCTCGCTAATATATCGATAAACAATGAACGTAATGATGATACTTTTTGCGGCAAACTTGATAATAAAATATATTGCTTTATTTCACATTATCAGTTGTGTGTAATTACAGAAGAATAAACAATAAAATCGTGCTTTACTAGAAACAGAACTCTCTTTTCGTCAATCTCCATGGGTAAAAAGGCATTAACTTCCCTTAGATTTATTTGGAAGTAGAAAATAAGTACCCCTCACAAATACTGAAATCTTAATATTTAACTGATTTATTTTCTTCAGAAACGATTTTTGACTACACTGGTCGACAAGTAAACCCGTCAAATAAGTTTATATACACCATCATGTTTATCACGTAATAGATTTTATTACTTAACAAAAGATTAATTTCATGTAAATAATCACCTGTTTCTTTAATTCGTCCAAATCACTGACTTAAAAATGTATAACATTCCACAAAGACGAGTTGGTTAAAGTTGTCACACTTTGCAATACAAACGGGAAACTAATACATATGCCGATACGTTAAGAAAACAATACTGTGGATTTAGAAGGGAAAAAAGACAACTAGAATGTATATTAGATCTTTGGAGGAAAACAAATAGTGAATGAACTTGTGACATTGAAACCAACTTCCGGCTATTTATGAAGATAGTTTCAATGGCAGGCTGAAATCAGCTGGAAAGAATTCAAGAACTAGTTAGCGCTGAATGGAGGTCGTTTCAGTTTAGAATGCTTAAATATAGTGCATTCGTAAACTCACGTTCAACTAAACTCAGGACCTTCAAATCTCTTAGATGGCACGATGTTTTGAGATCAGAGTCACACTCTAATGGTTCACATCTCCATCAAAGTGATATAGACAAAAACATCTGGTTGTTGTGACAGACATTTTTTCTACCCAACCAAGTTCAGAAACTATACGTTCAATATTTAGCAAACTTCACTTGAAACGTTCTGTTATTCAAAATTAGGAATTAAGGTGGCAGTTACTATCAATCCCTATATATTTATCAACCAGTCTAAACGGAAGCTCATTCTGTTGACTTTTGGTAGTTTTCGAATAAAAGTATTAGTTAAAAGGCGAATAATAGGCGAGAGAATTGATGACACTTGAAGTCACAAGATGGAGGAGATAATAATGTCATGTAAGCGATTAACAAATAGAAGAACCATGATTGGATATCCCTTCTTTGGATTTTATAAATGATATACTACTGGATTTATTAAGAAATGTTTAGCATTTTCACGCATCAAATAGATGTTTAAATATAATACAGTAAAACGAGTATTTCCAAAAAGTCACAATATTTGAGGTCAACAAATGTTCCAATGAATTTATATGGCAATTAAAAATTTGACCAAACAATGATTGAATACTTGGTAAACTTTACTTTTATTTTTAATTAACTCCTGTTGTCCAGTAAATAAATTATAAGCCAATAAAACCTGTTATAAACTGTTAGATTTTAAGGGTGATGCTTTCTTTTGTGATTATTTGATTCTTAATATTCACTAAGTTTGTGTTACGAGCTTGTGAAGAGATTAAAACTGATAAAAACAGTTTCATATATGACTGACTTTGAAATAGTCGCTTGAAATACGCAGAGTGGTGAGTAACCAAGGTCAAGTAACCACCCTTGAAACTCACTTCTAAAAGCATAGGATATTATCTTTCATTTGAAAGAAGGGAAAATCAGAAACATGTTGTCATTTCAACCTGAGATGAAGGCTGTCAGAATCCTGAGTACCAAGACTAACGTTACAGTAATAAACTTTACAATACCATGAAAAGTATAAAGTACATGCTGTCTGCCTTTTCTTGATGTTTTAAGCTAGACATTTTACCATGTTATAAAATCAAAGTTTGAGACTATTTTCCTTCGAGTCTGTTATGATGGAAATACATTTTCATCGACAGAGAGAGAGAGAAAGAAACAAACTTTGACATGATTCGGAGTACCGCAGTAGTTTACACTATCAAATACTTCAAATGAACAAAAATCGCAGAAAGCGGATTTTTAAAAGTATACAAAAGCCTAAATGTTTTTTAACGAGTAAGCGTATATTCAAGGATTAATTTAATGAGTTGCTAATGTATTGGGACGAACATCAATAATCTGAAGGACAGTAACATTCCCCTGGAATACTGAAAAGAATGTGAAAAAAATAAGTACTAATTTACCTCGCAGTTTGTGGTGTCTACGACGACGATGAAACTGGTACCAAACTTTAGGGTGTTCAAGAGTTTTTTCAATCACTACAGCCTCAATATACACCTGATGCACTGGTAAAATTGGTCGACCGATAATAGTAAAGTCTGATGATCCTAAAAGTAGGACCTTCTGTAATTGAACACGATCACCAACGTCAGTTCCATAGAACGGTGTTTTGATCATAATTAAATCGTTATTAGTTACTTTGAACTGTTTCCCTGCAATAGCCACGACAGCGAAGTACTGGGAACGGTTTTCGGATATGGAAGAATTAACTGAATCATAGATACCTGTAGAAAATTAAATATAAATATTAATATGTCAGTCAGGGTATCTGAAAAAATTAATTACTACAATGTTTGGGTAGTTCATTGTCTTATAACCACAGTTGTTGTCTTGATGCAATTGTAGAACTAATGTATTGCAGTGACCCAATTGAACTAAATCGGTGGGAGGATTTGTTCTTTTACCATCTATTATGCCAGGCAGGTCAGTTTGAGAGTGCTAGTATGAGAAGTGGTGGACTCTGTCCGAGGACTTAGTCGTAATGCCGACTGCCTAGGAGTGTGACGGCAAAAATATATTTTCTTCAGGCAACCAGATTCTGTAGCAACGCTGCCTTTCCGAGACGAGGAGCGGGTTGCAAAAGTTCGACCCTGAAAGCCACCCACATCGTCTTGTCCCATGAATTTACGTCGCAAGCTATAAAGCTTTTTAAGCACAGAGCTAACTAGGACTACTAAAGGAAATCATGCGTGATTGATCTCAAACGATTATCCATTGGATGCTGGAGCCATGTTTCCAGATTGTAAAAACCAATTTTAAACAAGTTTTCTTTGCAAGTGCCTCAAGAACAAATATTTCTCAACAATGTTAGTAACCAGGAAACGGCAACTCATTTGCCTGTCTTATAGGGTATTGAAGCGTCACAGAATCAAGATCCCTAAGATTTCAGCTAAACGGCGGAACTGTCAAGAATATATTCCAGTCAGTCAGCTACGACGTAAGACCAGGCACATATGTGCATCGGTCCAAGCTGTCATACCTCATTAGCATAACAAGATGAACACTGGATCCATAGAAGTGGTTAATTCAGTGGTGGTATATCTCAGTACCAACTATTAAACCAGTTGGTCAATCGACAAAGTAATGTCCGCCCCAATGTAGGTTGCTATAATATCCAAAAAGTTATGGAATCAGCAGTGACATCCACCAACGGCTTGGACCAAAAGGTTATGAAACATCATTGGATTTCTATAATGTTCACTAAGTCGATAGATGTTCAGAAATTAATTCCATCAAGCTCAAAATACAATGGTGAGCAAAGACAACTCAAACATAGACTGGCAAAAGTCTAAGGAATGCTCGTGAGTAGCAGTGAGCAGCGAAAGCAAAAGAGACCGAAAAGGCGAACAACTATTTCAATTCATCAAGGAGATAGTTATTAAAAAGGTAGTTGTTAATGATATTTATGAAAAATATGGGACATTGATACGTTTTCAGACCAGAAAATCGGAATGATTCGCAGAATACCTTAAAAAACGGCTCAAGTTGGCTCTAGATACCTTCTAGTTGCTTAATAATACCGAATAACTTGGATGGGGAATTGCCGAAAGCCCGCGGCTCTTAATAAAACCGAGAAGGTCACAACTAATCTACAGCGAGAGGGAGTAGGTCATGATAAATTATCCCCTACGATATTTAAGAACTACTAACCTTGTACAGACTCTGTACTTAAATACTACTGGTTGAATCAGAAGTGTATGGAGAATTGTCATCGGAATCGTTAACATTAAGTGTCCATCAGGGTTGAACAATGTAACTGTTTACTTGACTTGGTTGTAGATATTCTCTTAGAAATAACTGTTCAGGAGTTGATTCCTTACCAAGATCACTTATCGATTTAGAACATGCAGATGACGGTTTTGTTTCGTGAAGATACTAAACTGCAGATTCTACTGATCGCCTTGAATGAAAACGTAAACATTTTTCGGATGCATTCCTATTTCTCTAAGTTCAAAATAATACCTTATGACTGGTCTACGTCAACTTCTGAAGTTACTGAGTACGTCGATCATCTACTTGGAATCCCTCGAGTAGGGGTCGCGGATGCGCACTGCTGATGAGTCCCACAATGGGACGAAACAGCCGTTCAGTGCTTCCAGGTTTTCCATGGTGGTCTAGCTTCAATTGACTCATGATCTCAACTATTGAAATTAATAAAATCTCCACAAAACCCCTTCTGATACTAATCGACATATGCTCACTAGTGACTGGCTTCATCAAGATGTATATCCTGGAGTTCTAGTGGGAAGCAGTAACCAGTGGAGTTCAACCAGGTCTGTTGTGAGATAGTAACTCACTAATGACAATGGTGTATATGTCGCTCAATTTCGTGGATTAGTTGAAGTTAGACGTTAACACCGTTGGATGCCGGCTAAGCCCAGGGTTGCTCCACTGAAACTTATCACCATTCCTAGATTAGATTAACAGCTGCTGTGCTAAGACTGAAAAACACGTTGAATAACAATTGCGTATCCCTATCTCTTCTGTTATTTATTGGAGGGATTCATTATTCGTACGTCATTGTATAAGAAATACAACCGAAAGATTCAAGAGATTCGTAAGCAAAAGATTAGCGACGATTCACGAACTGTCGACAGCGAGCCAATGGAGATGTGTTAAAAGTAAATAGAATCCTGAGCATCATGCTTTAGATGATAGCATTAAACCAATTGAGTGATTCCACGGACCGAACTTTTTATGGCAAAACGAAAATAGCTGGCCAAATTCACGCGAAGAGGAGAACCATGTTTTAACCCATTTGTTTATAGAAGAATTAAGCGAAACACCGGCGTGGAGTCATTTGGACATATTTTTGAATCAATTTAGCAGTTGTAAGACCTGGTCCAAAATGTTGAGGATATTCTGTCTATGCAGACGGTTCGTTTACAATATGAGGGTGAGATTAAACAGAGGACCCTTAATTCTTGGTAGATTGAGATTGGAAGAAATTGATAGTGCGAAGCAGAATATAATTCAATTAGTTCAAATTATCGCATTTCTCATAGAGATGGAGACGCTAAGACGCATACAGCATAAAGACGAGCACGACAATACATGTGAATCGCAAGAAAGACCGAGGAAAGGAGTAGATGGATCAGTTATGAATAAGGAAATGATACTCCATCTAATGTCTGTTGTTAAGATAATGAGAAGTAGCGTTGCGCGTAGGAGCTCGATAAAGAATCTTAATCTTTTTGTAATAGATGAAGTCATCCGAGTAGGGGGACGACTTAAGTTATCGTGCTTGCTCTTCGAGAGCAAACATCCCCCTATACTTCCTAGTAATCATATTATTGCTGACTTGATTGTAATGCACTATTATTCGCAGAGTGCGCATTCCGGCATTACTGTCAACCTGAACCGTCTTCGCAAATAGTTCTGGGTCAATAAGGTTCAAGCTGCTATCCGAAGAGTCCTGAAACGGTGCTATCTATGCAAGAAACTGAACACTACGCCATGCACACAGATTATGGCTCCACTATTCGAATGTCGCCTGGAAGTTTACGTACCACCGTTCAATTTGGTGTTTATCTGCCAGTCCATGAGAACTAACCATCGAGTCGCCAGATGCAAGGAGTGTGTATCTCGTCGACTGTCCGTTTTGTCGAGGTGAGGTCAAGTGAATGGCCACACTAGGATCCTGTATGCGTGTTTCAGAGACAAGACATAAATCAGTGGTACGATGTTCTAGGGTCTTAGTCAAGGAGGTCTGGTGGCCGACATACGGTATGTACGTTGAAGACTCCAATGTGTAGTTTGGAGCGAGGTTTCAGTAGACCTGGGAGTGTTTTGCGCACAAGAATCGTTGGCCAGGGTGACACTTGAGGAGAAGGCAAAAGAGGAGGTTTAGAGTTGAAAGTCGACATAGGAGGTATAATAGGAATTGAAGGGGGAGATTGATTATGAATACAGTGATCTTCCATGCTGCTAGAGGTATAAGGGAGGTTTCCACTTCCCGATTGCCCACACCGTGGTAGGGTTCTTCTGGAGGTGCCTGAAAAGGAAATTGGATTAGAGGTGGTCATAGTGACCTGAGAGCGTGACCGCAGTACCCAACGGACAACTGCTGATAAATTATCCCCTACGATATTTAAGAACTACTAACCTTGTACAGACTCTGTACTTAAATACTACTGGTTGAATCAGAAGTGTATGGAGAATTGTCATCGGAATCGTTAACATTAAGTGTCCATCAGGGTTGAACAATGTAACTGTTTACTTGACTTGGTTGTAGATATTCTCTTAGAAATAACTGTTCAGGAGTTGATTCCTTACCAAGATCACTTATCGATTTAGAACATGCAGATGACGGTTTTGTTTCGTGAAGATACTAAACTGCAGATTCTACTGATCGCCTTGAATGAAAACGTAAACATTTTTCGGATGCATTCCTATTTCTCTAAGTTCAAAATAATACCTTATGACTGGTCTACGTCAACTTCTGAAGTTACTGAGTACGTCGATCATCTACTTGGAATCCCTCGAGTAGGGGTCGCGGATGCGCACTGCTGATGAGTCCCACAATGGGACGAAACAGCCGTTCAGTGCTTCCAGGTTTTCCATGGTGGTCTAGCTTCAATTGACTCATGATCTCAACTATTGAAATTAATAAAATCTCCACAAAACCCCTTCTGATACTAATCGACATATGCTCACTAGTGACTGGCTTCATCAAGATGTATATCCTGGAGTTCTAGTGGGAAGCAGTAACCAGTGGAGTTCAACCAGGTCTGTTGTGAGATAGTAACTCACTAATGACAATGGTGTATATGTCGCTCAATTTCGTGGATTAGTTGAAGTTAGACGTTAACACCGTTGGATGCCGGCTAAGCCCAGGGTTGCTCCACTGAAACTTATCACCATTCCTAGATTAGATTAACAGCTGCTGTGCTAAGACTGAAAAACACGTTGAATAACAATTGCGTATCCCTATCTCTTCTGTTATTTATTGGAGGGATTCATTATTCGTACGTCATTGTATAAGAAATACAACCGAAAGATTCAAGAGATTCGTAAGCAAAAGATTAGCGACGATTCACGAACTGTCGACAGCGAGCCAATGGAGATGTGTTAAAAGTAAATAGAATCCTGAGCATCATGCTTTAGATGATAGCATTAAACCAATTGAGTGATTCCACGGACCGAACTTTTTATGGCAAAACGAAAATAGCTGGCCAAATTCACGCGAAGAGGAGAACCATGTTTTAACCCATTTGTTTATAGAAGAATTAAGCGAAACACCGGCGTGGAGTCATTTGGACATATTTTTGAATCAATTTAGCAGTTGTAAGACCTGGTCCAAAATGTTGAGGATATTCTGTCTATGCAGACGGTTCGTTTACAATATGAGGGTGAGATTAAACAGAGGACCCTTAATTCTTGGTAGATTGAGATTGGAAGAAATTGATAGTGCGAAGCAGAATATAATTCAATTAGTTCAAATTATCGCATTTCTCATAGAGATGGAGACGCTAAGACGCATACAGCATAAAGACGAGCACGACAATACATGTGAATCGCAAGAAAGACCGAGGAAAGGAGTAGATGGATCAGTTATGAATAAGGAAATGATACTCCATCTAATGTCTGTTGTTAAGATAATGAGAAGTAGCGTTGCGCGTAGGAGCTCGATAAAGAATCTTAATCTTTTTGTAATAGATGAAGTCATCCGAGTAGGGGGACGACTTAAGTTATCGTGCTTGCTCTTCGAGAGCAAACATCCCCCTATACTTCCTAGTAATCATATTATTGCTGACTTGATTGTAATGCACTATTATTCGCAGAGTGCGCATTCCGGCATTACTGTCAACCTGAACCGTCTTCGCAAATAGTTCTGGGTCAATAAGGTTCAAGCTGCTATCCGAAGAGTCCTGAAACGGTGCTATCTATGCAAGAAACTGAACACTACGCCATGCACACAGATTATGGCTCCACTATTCGAATGTCGCCTGGAAGTTTACGTACCACCGTTCAATTTGGTGTTTATCTGCCAGTCCATGAGAACTAACCATCGAGTCGCCAGATGCAAGGAGTGTGTATCTCGTCGACTGTCCGTTTTGTCGAGGTGAGGTCAAGTGAATGGCCACACTAGGATCCTGTATGCGTGTTTCAGAGACAAGACATAAATCAGTGGTACGATGTTCTAGGGTCTTAGTCAAGGAGGTCTGGTGGCCGACATACGGTATGTACGTTGAAGACTCCAATGTGTAGTTTGGAGCGAGGTTTCAGTAGACCTGGGAGTGTTTTGCGCACAAGAATCGTTGGCCAGGGTGACACTTGAGGAGAAGGCAAAAGAGGAGGTTTAGAGTTGAAAGTCGACATAGGAGGTATAATAGGAATTGAAGGGGGAGATTGATTATGAATACAGTGATCTTCCATGCTGCTAGAGGTATAAGGGAGGTTTCCACTTCCCGATTGCCCACACCGTGGTAGGGTTCTTCTGGAGGTGCCTGAAAAGGAAATTGGATTAGAGGTGGTCATAGTGACCTGAGAGCCTGACCGCAGTACCCAACGGACAACTGCTGATAAATTATCCCCTACGATATTTAAGAACTACTAACCTTGTACAGACTCTGTACTTAAATACTACTGGTTGAATCAGAAGTGTATGGAGAATTGTCATCGGAATCGTTAACATTAAGTGTCCATCAG